TTCTGGATCCCAAATTTTTTATTTTATGTCATGGTATGTTCCCTGGATTCATTGGAGAAGTTTTCTTGGTGGATTTCCAGGCTATCAGGAGGCTTTCCACTTTTCTAGGTATGCCATTTTCGAGTCGGTAAGGGTTCCTTTTATTTTTCATTTAGATGTCTGGGTCTCTGTTGGGGTTCCCAAAGCCATGAACTCTCTGAATGTGCTACCTGTTTGTGTACCAATTTTCCAGGTGCATGTCTGTGGGAGGTTTCTTGGTTTTCTCGGCTTGTGCTTTCACTCCTGGGTGTATGCCTTGATTATCTGTGGATGTTTCCTGGAGTGTTCTTCTAGAACGTCAGGTAGATTTTGTCAATTCTCAAGAATTTTGCCCAAGTTGGGCACTAGAACTCGTGGGGTGTTTTTGTTAGTTTCCTACTATCCTGGGTGCATGCCTTGGGATTGTTCCCAGTTCTCAGATGGGATACCTTCGTTCCCCATTTGTCCAGGGTCTGGCCTGTATTATTTCCAGCTCCCATTCTGTTGACGGGAGTGTTCTGGGTCTCATTTTATACAGCTTTTATGCTGTGTCTGCATGTTGAGCTTCAGGGTCCCTTATGTTCACAAGTTTCCTAACTCATTCCTCATTTTACACAGGAATGCATTCAGGTTCTCTGGACCATCATTACCTTTTGATACAAAAGGTACATATGTTTGAAATGATGCAGAGAGCTTAAGACTAACTGATAGGCTTGCAGCACTTTAAGCATAACTGACTTTAAGGTTAGTGATGGCTACCTTACCTACCTACCTTGAGGTGCTTCCGGGGCTTAGTGTCCCCGCGGCCCGGTCGTCGACCAGGCCTCCTGGTTGCTGGACTGATCAACCAGGCTGTTAGACGCGGCTGCTCGCAGCCTGACGTATGAGTCACAGCCTGGTTGATCAGGTATCCTTTGGAAGTGCTTATCCAGTTCTCTCTTGAACACTGTGAGGGGTTTGCCAGTTATGCCCCTTATGTGTAGTGGAAGCGTGTTGAACAGTCTCGGGCCTCTGATGTTGATAGAGTTCTCTCTCAGAGTACCTGTTGCACCTCTGCTTTTCAACGGGGGTATTCTGCACATCCTGCCATGTCTTCTGGTCTCATGTGGTGTTATTTCTGTGTGCAGGTTTGGGACCAGCCCCTCAATTATTTTCCACGTGTAAATTATTATGTATCTCTCCCGCCTGCGCTCAAGGGAGTACAGATTTAGGCTCTTTAGTCGGTCCCAGTAATTTAGATGTTTTACTGAGTGGATTCTAGCAGTAAAGGATCTCTGCACGCTCTCTAGGTCAGCAATTTCTCCAGCTTTGAAAGGGGCTGTCATTGTGCAGCAGTACTCCACTCTAGATAGCACAAGCGTTTTGAAAAGTATCATCATCGGTATAGCATCTCTAGTGTGAAAAGTTCTTGTTATCCAACCTGTCATTTTTCTTGCAGTTGTGACGGCTACTTTATTGTGTTCTTTAAAGGTAAGGTCTTCCGACATGAGTACACCCAGGTCCTTTACATTGCCTTTTCGTTCTATGTTATGATTTGCCTGCGTTTTGTACGTGGTTCCTGTTTTTATGTTTTCAATTTTTCCGTAGCGCATGAGCTGAAACTTATCCTCGTTGAATACCATATTATTTTCTGTAGCCCATAGAAAGACCTGATCTACATCTGATTGGAGGTTTGCCGTGTCCTCTATGTTGCCAACTCTCATGAAAATCCTAGTGTCATCTGCAAAGGATGATACAGTGCTATAGGTTGTGTTCTGGTCTATGTCCGATATGAGGATGAGAAAAAGTACTGGAGCAAGCACAGTACCCTGGGGGACTGAGCTCTTCACGGTTGATGGGCTGGATTTTATTTTGTTGACTATTACACATTGGGTTCTGTCAGTCAGGAAATTGTAGATCCATCTGCCTATTTTCCCGGTAATTCCTTTTGAACGCATTTTATGTGCAATAACACCATGGTCACATTTATCAAAAGCTTTTGCGAAATCTGTGTAAATTACATCAGCATTTTGTTTGTCTTCCATAGCATCTAATGCCATATCATAGTGGTCCAGCAACTGCGACAGGCAAGAGCGCCCTGTTCTGAAACCATGTTGTCCGGGGTTATGGAGATGCTGTGATTCCATGTATTTTGTGATCTTACTTCTTAGCACTCTCTCAAAAATTTTTATGATGTGCGATGTTAGTGCTATCGGTCTGTAATTTTTTGCCTCTGCCTTATTTCCTCCTTTATGGAGTGGTGCTATCTCTGCTGTTTTTTTGGCCGGACTAGCCATATAACACTGGCTGATAGGCTAAATGAAACTGCCAGGCCATAAAATAAGTAAAGAATGTCAGCTATATTCATCCTTAGGCTGTTTATGTATCAGCCGCACAAGTTTTACGCTCGGGCATCTAATGTAATAGCAGCCTGTCCCTAATTGTCCAAATTTTATTGTTCCACTTGGTTATAAATCTCTCTAAAAGATTGTCAGGATTTTCAGGACGACTGGAAAATTTGCTTCCCAACAGTTGCTTAACACTAAATGTCTTTTAATAAGATCCTCAGTGAATCCAATTTTTTTACTGTAGGCATCCAAAATAAACATCTTATATGATATCTAGGCAATTATTAATCATTTGTCAATTGAATAGTGATGTATAGCCATACTTGCTTAGTATTTTCTTTTGATTATTTTTATTGTACGGTACTTCAAAGAATGCCTAGATTGCTCGTGGCATATATTTTGAATAGTTCCATAATCATTTAAGATGTTAGTGATTGGCAGATACAGTAAATAAAAGTGCATTGAATCTTTGGGATGGTAAGGCATTGTTATTGATTGGCAATGTCTTTCCTTATCCCAATGTTGATACTTTAACTCCAAAAATAAGTTACACAGTACAAAGCATTTTCTGCTAACACCTCAATTTATGATATAGTCCAGCATTTCTCAACCTTCTTATCCTTGCAGATCTCTTGAAATAAATTTCATATCTTGAATCCCTGCATAAAATTATTATATGATATATATGTATAGTACTGTATAAGATTTTAACCTGGTGGAATTTGATAACAGGATTTGTGATATATTCAAAGATGCTGGTGAAGCAGGCAGAAAGGTCAATGTATCTTAAGATGTAGAGATTTGACAAGCATTTTTCTAACAATTGGGAGAAAGAGGAGGATAGTGGGTTGGAAAAGATAACATAGGTCCTTTTTTTTTACCATTGGGAATCAGCTTGTTAATTATGCTTAAAAAGTTGAAAATAGATGGAGGAAATCAGTTTATAGTTCTTAAAGTACCGAACTTTAAACCAGCCGTGTCTCTGCCTATAGTATTCAAGATCTGAGTTTAAATTTAAATACAGTATAGTGTTTTACATTTTAGTTGATTTAGCTGCTAATAAACAGTTAAAAGTAGGTTTTGACTGTATTATACATACCACATGCCTTTTTTTAAATAACAGTACAATATTGTAATGTAAAATAATCAATAAAGCATACTGGTGTTGCTGCTCTAATAAGTGTGTAGTGAAAAGTGTGTAGATAAATTAAATTTTGTATTGATATATGAAGAGGGCTGCTAAAGTAAATGTAAGTGAAGTTGAGTTAGAATGAGTCAGGGAAGTGGTTTCTTATTTTTGTCTTTAATGGATACAGATGCAGTAGTTCCCTGAAATCTTGTTTTAATGCCTTACCAGTGTTTAATGAACGAGTGAAAGTGTAGTTGCACAGAGTGGGTATTCGAGTTAATTTGAGGTTAAGAGAAAGTCTAAGAAGATGGGCAGATATGGTGGATGAGTGCAAAAAAAAAATTGAGGATCGAGTGTAAGCAGCACATCAGAAATGGTAGGGAGGAAGGTTTTGTGGAATCTGGTAAAAAGTCTTGACAAACACTATTAACAAAGTCTTAAGGAGCAGTGATGTGCTATTGTGAATTATGTGCTGGAGAGTGAAGGTGCTTGCTGGTAATGTGATGCTGTTTAGTGTAGAAAATTATTGAATGAACAGATGTCATTATTACTATGGAACTTTTTCCTGTACTATTTTATCTTTGTGTTGATTCCTTTTCTCCCCTTAAAAGTGATAAATTAGGTACTCACCTAGTTGTCCTTGCAGGAGTTGAGCTTTGGCTCTTTGGTCCTGATTCAACTGTCAACCAACAGGTGTACAGATTTCTGAGCCTATTGGGCTCTATCATATCTACATTTGAAACTGTGTATGGAGTCTGCCTCCACCACATCACGCCCTAATGCATTCCATTTGTTAACTACGCTGACACTGAACAAGTTTTTTTCTGATCTCCCTGTGGCTCATCTGATTTGCCCTGACTTCTAGCTTCTTCTCATAGCTCCAGTTTTTCAGTTCCGAAAGCCATTTCGTAACTTGTCTTTGCATTTTTCCAGTGTACTGTACTGATGTGCTTCTTGAGATATGGGCACCATATAACCACTGCACATTACAACTTTAGACTCGTGAATGTCGTAATGTGCATGTGTGAAAATGTGTAAATATATGGTGAATGTCGTAATGTGCATATGTGAAAGTGTGTAAATATATGGTGAATGTCGTAATGTGTATGTGTGAAAGTGTGTCAATATATGGTGAATGTCGTAATGTGCATGTGTGAAAATGTGTAAATATATGGTGAATGTCGAAATGTGCATGTGTGAAAGTGTGCAAATATATTTATAATTTATTAGGGAATGAATGAGAGGGGAAAGAATGAGTGTGGGGGTAGGTGGTTTAGCTATAACAAATATGAAGCAAATTAATTGGTAATTATGAGTGAAGTGTAGTTTACTATATTAACAGCTTATTAACAGTTATGATGCCTAAAGAATTTTATGAATAATACAGCTGCTTAGAACCTACAAAAAGTAGAGAATGACTGAAAACATTAAATGTTAGAAATTAATAACACTGATTAATGTAATAAATGTACTGTACAGCATTTATGAAATAAAGGTTATCTGTGGAGATAATGTATACAAAAACACTTAATAGATATTTTATTGTTCATCTTGTTTAGTTGGGTAATATTTTAGTGGGTATTATAATTTATACATTATATGGTATTATACAACCTCTGCCGGCACAATGAAGCATACAGTAGTTTCATCATTGTCGTCCACCAACCTCCATTTGACGATGACACTCACCTAGTTGGAGAGATTACAATACTGTATTAAAATCACAACTAGATACAACATTTAAAATAAACAATTAGAATGTTTATTTATTAAGATGACAAGAAGATCTACGAGTGTCATTTGAGATCTCCCAGGCAGCCCGGAGCTGTGTTCAGCATCAGCCATCAGATATGTTACTACGCTGATGTATCACCTATAGTCTCGGTACCTGTCCCCAGCTAATTCCTCATATATTATTGAATTATCCTCTCACTTAAAACTAAATCCAGTAACCCTTCCGATACAAACCCTAATCTATAAAAAATACACCATTACAAGAGTAGACATGAAGATAGTGAATGACAGAATATAATGAATGCAAAACAAAACTATATAGTTAGAAAAAGGAAACAAAGACTGAGTTCGTATGCAAACAAAGATAAATCCTAGTTTTCAGTTATATCAAACAAGGATTAGGTGGAAAACGGCCAGATAACTGATGATGACAGATATGAGTAGTATTTTTAGTAGTAGTAAAGTTAAAGGGTACAGGTAGTACAGTCGGGCTCGTTCTCGACGCACACTCTAGAATCTCGGGCGGGACAGAAATGGTTGGGCACATTTTCTTTCACCTAATGGCCTTGTTCACCTAAGCAGCAAGTAGGTACTTAGGAGTTACTCAGCTTGTTGTGGGGTTGCATCTTAGCGGGGAGGGGGGTCCTCGATAAAAGCCTAATGTGTATGAATACAATCTGGCTTTCTGAATTATTATTTTAAACAAATATTTTGTATTTACTAAAGAAGAACTTAACATTATACCTTCAGCCGAGCAAGTCGATATAGGTGGTGAAGAGGATAGGTTAACTATATAGCGGTTACCAGGGAGGAAGTTATTAAACAAATATAAAAATATATTAAGGGTTAAGTTGGATAATGGCATGGTAATACAAACAGAAACATGAGTTAGTGTAAATGGAGTTAAGTCAGAGTGGGAAACCGTTGCAAGTGAAGTGCCTCAAGGCTCTGTCCTGGAACCTCTGTTGTATATAATATATATTAAAGATTCAGATTATAATGTATAGACTGTTATATAATACAGATTTAGATTCAGGATTGAGCAGCAATATTTGCAAGTTGAGTTAAGACTACGGAAATTTGGGCAGGAAATGAACTCCAAAGACTTAAAATCACAAGACGATCTAGTTAGAGTTTTGAAATGATTAAAAGAATGCCAGAGGCAGTTTTAATGCTGACAAATGAAAGGTTATGAGGTTAGATGATAATGATAGAGTTGCAAGATATCAGTCGGATGGTTTTGAAATGGTAAATTCTGATTTTGAAAAAGATCTGGGATCATGATTAGTAAGAATTTAACGCCAAAAAAGTAATGCATTGTTCGAAATAAGGCAAATAGAATACAATACTGGGATTTATTTCTAGAAATGTTAGGAATAAAACACATACATAGTGCTATTCTTCAGTTATATCTTGCCCCCGTTTACAATAAATTATTTAGTTCAATTTTGGTCGTACTATAGAAATGATATAAATTGACTAGAGCGCATAAAACGATGGATGGCAGTTAATTCCGCAAATAAGAAACCTTCCTGCATATGAAGAGAGTGGAAAGGTTTAATTTACATTTTCTAGAAAGGCGAAGAGGTAGGGGGCGAAATCGGCATAACAAGGAGGATTTTTATAATGTATTAAATAAACCAATAAAATAGTGCACGAAACAATGGATATAAATTGGATCTAAGTTAAGATTTAGGAAAGACCTGGGTAAATACTGATCCGGAAGCAGGGTTGTTGACTTGTGGAACAAATGACGAGGCAACATAGTAGACGATTGTTTTAAGCGTAGGTTAGACATATAAATGAATGAGTTTATGTGGATACAATCAGGAGCTGCCACGCATGGGCCATTAGGCCTTCTGCAATTTCTTAATTGTTATGTTTTTGTTTTAAAACATAAGATGATTTTTCATCCACAGAGTTCTAAACCCATATAAAAGCTTACCCACCAACGTCGTAATTACTATGGCATTTTAAATTTAAATTTTGCCCCGAGAGGGGAGTTTAGAGAGGCGATGGCGATATGTTCACTCACAGGATGAGTGGCCAGCGCCACTCATCCTGTGAGTGAATATATATCGCCATAGTGACAGTATTGGGCAGCGCCACTCATCCTGTGAGTGGACACACTGCCATAGTGACAGTATTGGCCTGCGCCACTCATCCTGTGAGTGGACACACCGCCATAGTGACAGTATTGGGCAGCGCCACTCATCCTGTGAGTGGACACACTGCCATAGTGACAGTATTGGGCAGCGCCACTCATCCTGTGAGTGGACACACCGCCATAGTGACAGTATTGGGCAGCGCCACTCATCCTGTGAGTGGACACTGCCATAGTGACAGTATTGGCCTGCGCCACTCATCCTGTGAGTGGACACACTGCCATAGTGACAGTATTGGGCAGCACCACTCATCCTGTGAATGGACACACTGCCATAGTGACAGTATTGGGCAGCGCCACTCATCTTGTGAGTGGACACACCGCCATAGCAGCATGTACAACATCCCCAATAGGAAGAAAACCCGCTGGGTTGTTCATCCTGTCACTTGTACCCAGACACAGCTGGGGACTACTGTGACACATTTCCACTTAAACATCCAGTTGGAAACACTCCTAGAGAACAAGGGAGGGGTCCTTAACAAGCCGCCGACTTTCTGTCTCCGTCGATGCCACTGTTGTTGTTGTTTTAAATTCAGCTACTCTGAACAAAAAGTTCCAAGTAGCACGGGCTATGGTGATCCCGTAGTGGACATACCAGGCACAGGAGCTGTGGCACTCAGGTGAATTCAGGCAAATAAGCAGGAAGGGGTAGTGAGGCGAATGGTGGAGGGGGACCCAAATCAGATGTTTTTATACAAATATATAACCATCAAGTACATATAGGCATTTTGCATAAAGGCATGGCCGTGCCTCCTTCGTCCCTGGCACCGCTCCCGTGCCAGGTAAGTTCACTACGGGCTCACCATAGCCCGTGCTGCTTAGAACTTAGTCCGAGTAGCTGAATCTATAGCAACAACAACTCCGTCTCATCACAATCGACTTGATAATGGTCCAGGACGGATCGAAACGTCGTCTCTTCATCTTCTAGTGTGTGATTTGGTCAAGATAAAGGTTATTATGTGTAATATGTCTCCTTTTATGTATTGCTTGCAAATAGTAATAAACAAGATACTTACAGCTGGGTATTCCTGAAGAACCGGAGCATCTGCTGTGTAATAAACACTTTCGTTTTCTTCTAGTGGACAGTCACCAGTTGTGAGGCTGGTGCAGGCGTCGGGCACCACGCCTGCCCACGGGATGTCTATGCCAGCAATGTTGCCAATAACTTTGGTTGTCAATGTACTGGAGGCTTTGACTGGATTGAAAAAAAATCGTAGTTTTTAATTATCAATTCAAAATGTGTAATATTTTACAACAATATTGATTATATTTTGATCTGCAGGATAATAAAAGGAAGGAAAGGAACTATCAGGGGAAAAGCGCCAAGCCATTATGACTATATAGCACTTGGAAGGGATCAAAATAAGGATTTGGGATGTGACGGGGGAAAGGAATGGTACCCAAGAAAGACATTGGAAAAAGTGTTGAAGAATGTGACACTTTTCAATGACATTGAAAAGTGTTACATGACCTGTGTCCACAGCAAGTTTGATCGAAGTTCGTTGCTAAATCTGCTGATGATGTGAAGTGCAGAAACTGTGCGAGTTTATATAGTTTAATGATTAGTTTATGATGGCATTTTACGTTTCATTTTGAGTTTCTGCTTTAAAATTCGGTACTTAGTGTTTCACATCTTCTATATGAGAGAATGTCTGTCTGTCCAAGGCTGGAGACCAAAGGTGAATGAATGGTCTAGGGTACGGGACGGACATAGGCACAAGACAACATTTTCAGTGAACTAAACAACCATTTTTATCATAAATTAATTATTTCTAACAAACGCCAGAACTGTAAACATTGACTTAATTCTATCCTAAGATGTGTCAAAGATTTGGTGTAATAAAGCAGAACTTACCATTGACGAAGTCTATTTCAACTTTGATATCCTCGCCCCGCGTGAGGATGCATGGTGGAATGTCGCAGTCAGTGATTCTCACTTCTGTAACTTCTGCCGTGGATCCTGTCAATAAATTGGAATGAATAAAGCATATAACGGATTTGCTGAATTTCAGTAAATGACTGTATCATAAGGGTCCCAGTAGTATAGTCGGGTTCGTTTCCCACTCACAATCGGGAATTCGAATCCCAGGCAGGACAGAAATGGTTCGGCACTTTTCCTATCACCCTATGTCCCTGTTCACCTAGCAGTTAATAGGTACCCAGGAGTTAGTCTGTTGTGGGGATGCATCCTGGGCGGGGTCAGTAATTCGACCTGGAGGGGGGGGGCCCTTGATATAAGCCTAACGTGTATGAATACATACACTCTGGCTGCCTGACCCCCCTAACACAATGGATTATTATTACAAGATAGTGATGGCATTGTTTGAAAAATTATCTATGTAATTTTAGTGAGCATTAAAGTATTATTCACCCTTAGGAAGGGTGTTATCCTAAGGTCACCCAGTATACTGTCTGTCTATCTAATGATGTTTATGTTCACACTGGAGACGTAAGGAGGCGATTGTGCTGAGGAGGGCAGTTCACCTTGGGCAGTCAAGAGCTCTTGACTTGGTCCTGTGAGAGGACAAAGTGGCTGCCGTCGGTAGTAGCAGTGTTAGCTGCTGGAATAATGCAGTGTTGTATGGACCGACGTACCCGGGATTTGGCCAAGAAGAGTTACCAGACGACAGTAGTGTATCTGATAAGTGCTGCTAGTGTGTTGCTAGAGACTTCTGCCAGGGTGTTAGCTGCCCATGTATGTGATTATTTAAGGCCCCTATCAGCTTGTGGCTGAAGCCCTCTGTCAGTGTATTTCTGGAGAGCGGATGTTGGGTACTGGGACATCGTGACGATACGATGTGTGGACTGGCCCACGTCGAGGGTGAACTCACCGGTGATTGCCATTGAGCGTGGACGACATGTACCTGGACGTAGTGGACTAGCTGGGATTTGATGAACACTGCAGGTCTATTCGAGTGTCCTGAGTGAAAGCGACACAGTGTATGTATGTGTAGTAATGCTTAGAGATATAATATATATTGGTGAAGGTGATAATATATTGGTGAAGGTGTAATTGCGGGTTGTTTATCCCCCTTATTCCTTGCACTGTTACTTACTACTGCCAATTCTTGTTAACTTGCCATCGACTTTGGGTAGGATAAAGAAGAGGTTATAAGACATGTTAACAAAAAAGAACCCGGTTACTGGCCCAAGCTGGCTGTAACATGCTGAAAATTATTTTGGACAATAATGGTATGATATAAATTGCACATCTCATTTGTATTTGATGAGTTTACCATCACTTCTCAAATGGCCTAGAGATAGCAAGTCGGCAGCTTGTCAACCGTGCCCCCCACCCAACTCTCCCGCCATTCTTCCTCATAATTTCTTCCAAATGGATTTTGATCTCCAGTCTGGATATCCTCCAATTTGTTTGGTATTTTATATTTCTTTGAGATCCACCCTGTCATGTGTGGTTTGCAGTGTTGTCATTCCTCTGGCTCTCAACCTTTCCTGATTTTCCTTTCCAGAGCAGTCTTGGTTCTGGGATGATTTTTTGTAGCTCTGTATTGAACTTTCTTCCAAACAGACATGCCTTTGAAGATGAAGTCTCCATGCTTGGATACAGTAGTCCAGATGAGGACGCACCAGAGATTTTTACAGTTGAATAACCACTTTCTTTCCATTGAAGTCAAAGGTTCGTTTGACTATTCACTAGGATTTTTATATATATATACACACTGGAGCTCCCATTTGTTGTGCAACTGTCAAAGATTGGTGTCTTCTGACTCGTAGATTATTTCTTTAAAATCTGTTACATTGTAGTATTGTTGATATAGTTGTGATGTGCGTCTTCATGTCCTACACGCAAGATTTTGTATTTGTCGATGTCAGAAACCATTTGCCAGCCTTCCGACCATTTGTGGAGTTTGTATATCTTTGTTTCTGGTATGGTATTGACATCGTGAATGCCGTCTAGAAATATTATATTGGTCTGTGATACAGTGCTAAATAGTTCTCCAGGCTTGGCGCCTTTTTTAATAACTTAGTCGCAAATGTACTTTAATCATTGTTAAAAAATATAAGTCAACTTCGCACGTGATGTACAGTGAAACACATTTATAAATATCCAAAGTTTGCCTACTTGCTGCAAGTAGTGTGCACACTTCCTGAAATGTGACTAATCTCCCAACACCCACATGATGGGTGCAGGGATCACCCTATGAAAACTACCCGGAACATGTTCAACGCAAATATAAGTGGCATAGCTTAAAAAATATTGATTGGAGCCTAAGTTTCTGATCCCTGTATGATAACCTCTGGTACCTACCCCCGGGATAGGCACGGAATTCATAATAAATAAAACTAAACATATTACATTAAAAAAAAATGTGAAAACTTATTCTTCATAAGTATTAGACTTACCACAGTCCTGGACTAAAGTGGCAGAGGTAAGGCCCAGCAGGGCAGCTAGTACAATACTGGAACTAAGCATGGCTGCTGTCGACACAACTAGACGAGTCGCTTGTGAGGGTGTGACAACCATTCATGGCTTTTATATGGCACATGTCCACGCGTACAGGGTGGGATGGTGATCAGCTGGGCCACGTTAACCTTGTGATACTCCACAGCTGTTGTGTTATGGTGTGAGACATACTGACGTCACTCGCCTTCACGGTGTTCAAGGATTTCCTATGAGTTACGCCTTTATTTCTTAACAAGCTTAGGTATACACAGCAATATGCTACTACTCTATTCTATACGAGGAATTACAAATTATAGGTTGATCTAGCTATAAGTTCATCCAATATCCCCATCTCACAGGATTAGTCATACATAGAATCAGGAAACAACACGAGATGCGAACCTAGTCTACTAGGCTGCACTAACAAACTTTTGGTAGAACACAAGAATATCTTCCAATATTCGTGAGTGTATGAAGTAATTAGAGCTCAGAGCATCTCATAACAATTGGTATGAAATCTGATAACAGGGCATTCCCAACTAGTGTTCGAGGGTGTCCCAGCTCTTGTTCACATAGTTTACAATTGGAATGTTCACTGCTAGAGGGATTAATTACCTGCATCTACCTGAAGATGTAGCTGCAGGTAATGTGGCTGAACTGACACACACATCACAGTGTGACATTGGCGAATTAGATAGGCAGGCAGGAGGGTTACTCAATAGACAAAATATTGAAGTTCTTGCGAGGCAGGATCAGGTATAACATTTGGGGTTTACGGCTCATGCTCGGCGATGATATGGAAAATTTGTTTATTGAGAATTATATAAAATATATATAAATGTAATAATTTTCCCTGTAAATTAATGTAAATATAATCTCTAAAATTTTAAATAATTTAAAGAAAAATAAGTATAACATTTAGGGGTTTAAAGTTCATGCTCTGTGATAATATGAAACACTTGTTTACTGAGAATTATACTACTGTATATGTAATGTAGTATTGCCTTGTAAATTTATGTATATATGATTTATATTGTATTTTATTAAATAGATAAAAAAATAGGCTAGCAATCACAATGTCACACTGATGAGCTTTTTTGTTCTCCGTACATATAATCCGCATTTCCAAACATATCATAACTTTATACCAGTGCTTTCTCCCCTCTGAGTGTCATTGATTGTTTCTCTGCCAGCTCTAGTTGCTTGAAATAGGACCGTTTTTGACAAGGTATTAGAATAGCCTAGTCTAGCTCAATTTCAGGCTTATCACATGCAGCTTTAGCTGCCTAAACTCATAAACACTCTGGTAGCTCACAAGCACATAGGCAGCTCACAAACATACAAGTTGCTCACAAACATACAAGTTGCTCACAGCAACACACCCACAACTCTGCAGTTTAAACTTAAGCTAACATATTCTGATCATACTAATGTTTTTGAGAAGCTCCTCGTGAACAATAATAAATAACACTTCCACCATTAATGTGTTCACTTTACAACTTCCTCGTTGTGTACACCCTTTTTAACCTGTATGTCCTCGCCACCATGTACACACACTCCTCACAGTGTAATCTATCGCTACACTGTACACCCGCTCTTATAGTGTATACTATCCTCCCGCTGATCACCCTGCTCACAGTGTATATATCATCTTGTGCATTATCCTCACACTGCCTCCCTCACCCCTGTCCGTCTTTCTCACCATGTACGCCTCTCTCACCGTGTACTGTATATATAGAGTCCTCACCTTAAACGTCTCCCTCTCGATATTCTAACCATGTACGCCTCATGTATGCCCAAAAACCTGGAGAAAGTGCAAAAAACTAGAAACAGAGGGCAATAGAGAGGCACTAAAGACCAGAAATGAATGCGAGACCATGTACTGAAATTGAGACAAGGAGAAATCTCATAGAAAATGATGAGGCACATGAGGAACTCGACAAAAGATTTCAAGTCTATACCAGTGTGGTATACCAGAGTTGCGAGATGAGATTTATGACCGGAAGAAACAATGAATGATATTGTAGTCACTGTAGAATAAGAAAAAAAACACCTGTAGGAACTAGATGTGGCAAATTCAACATGGCCAGATTCGGCATCATGGTTCCGGGTTCGAAACCCCGGTGGAGGCGGAGACAAATGGGCAAAAAGTTTTTCACCCTGATGTCCCTGTTACCTAGCAGTAAATAGGTACCTGGGAGCTACAGCTGCTTCCTGGGGGTGTGTAACAAAAAGGAGGCCTGGTCGAGGACCGGGCCGCGGGGACGCTAAGCCCCAGAATCATCTAAAGATAACCTCAAGAAGATGGCTGCTAAAGGAGGCAGCCGAAGTACTGTCACTGCTATCTAAAGAATTGTTTGCAAATGATGCAAAAGTGACGAGGAATACAAACACAGAGGACTGCAAGAAACTACAGGAGAACTGCAAGAGACTACAGGAGGGCCTTTACAAACTCCAGCAAACAAATGGTTGCTGGAATTAAATCCCAATAATGTAAGGTAATGAAGATGGGAAAGGGAGAGAGGAGACCAGAAGGTATCTACACCAAAAGGTGAAGGCAGCTACAGGAATCGTAAAGAAAGATTTGACAGTGGATATAGTTCCAACACTAACATAGGAGGCGCACACAAAAAAGGATAACATCGGCAGTATATGGGACGCTGGCAAATATAAAAACATCGTTTAGAACCCTAAATCAGGGCTCCTTCAAGGCAATCTACACAACATTTGTTAAGCCAATACTAGACCAAAGTGCAGCACTGGCACGGAATCTGCACTTTTTAAAGCATAGTCAAAATTGAAAAGGCACAAATGTTTGCAACAAGAGCTAAGCGGGCTAATTGCTACGAGAATAGGCTAGTGAAACTAAACCTCTCTACACTATAGGATAGAAGGAACAGAGGGACTATGATCACAACATATAAGTTACCGGGAGAAATAGATAAGGTGGATAAGAATAACCGCCTCAAACTGAGAGAAAGTAGGACAAGAGAACACAGGTGGAAGCTAGAAACGCAAGTGAGCTGAAGGAATATAAGAGGGAAGGGAATTATCAGGGAAAAGCGCTGTCATTACGATTATATAGCACTTGGAAGGTATCAAGATAAGGATTTGGGTTGGGACAAAGGAATGGTGCCCAACCACTTGGACGGTTGGGGATTGAACGCCGACCTGCATGAAGCGAGACAAGTGGGATGCACAGAAAGAAGCCACCTCCATCCACAAGTTTAAGGTAAGATTCAACAAAGAATTTGAACCTCAAAATAGTTTTAAAAATGTAATGCAACAAGTACAACAAGGCTAGTAGGCGGGGCATAAAAAGCTAGACCTCACTCCGTAGACACTGTTAGTTAAGTACTGTTAGGTAAGGCAAGAATGCCTCCCCCACCCCTGGACGTGGTCACTTGGACCAACCCCGTCTCAGCGACCATTCTTGCTACACCTCCCCATTTACGATGCTACTATGAGACACGAGAGTGTAGCACTGGTATTTGGTCGCTGGCAACTCTCCGAGCGAACCGTTTGGCCAGGTAACCTCTTGATTCCTCCCCCTCTCAGTATGTTTATTGTTTTTGTCTTATTTTCTGGGTATTTTCACTCCAAGTAACGTTAAATGTGTTGGTTTATGTTAATTCTGCCTGTGTTAGTTTAATCAGATGTTTATCTATAAACTGTGAGGTAAACTAATTAAAGATAATGATCAAACGATCAGTGTTGGTTGTGAATGGGATATAACTCGGCAGTCGACCTACAGCTGCACCAGGTTCAGTGCCTCTTTGGACGGTGCAGAGAGTAGGTGTGTCTGCCGCTGTGTCCCGTGAGTGTCCACGTGTCTGTCTTGTGTCTATGTAGGTGTTGGGTCTACCTGTACTTGTAAATATTCTTCTGTGCCGGTGACGCCTCTCCCTGCTCGGCTGCTCACCTCTTCTACGGACTAGTGAGTAACCAAGTGAACCTGACAACACGGAGGCGATAAGAAATTTTGTCAAAACGATTGATTTTCCAAAATTTAATTAAATATGCATTCAAGGAGTCAGCGTCATGATTTGTATTTAAAGTCATTATTGGTATATATAAAATGAGTGGGCTCGGCTTTATTACAAAAAATACATTACGTTTAATTATATAATACATGGTTATTTTAGATAACTTTTTGTTTTACCTGTTAACTGTTTCGAGAGTTCGACTTCCACAGCATAACCTGTGGAAATCCTTTCTTTAGTGATTGCAGGATCAGCCTGAGTATTTGTCTAGGTGGGCACGAAGGGCCAGCATGGTCACCATCACAGACAGGTTGATCCGGCATCCAACAGAAACTAATCCAATTCCCCCTAGAAAGCTTTCACTGTTGTTCCAGCAAGAGTTTATATATTTGTTGGCAGAAGTTTAAAACAAAACACACACAAAAAAAGAATCGTGGGCCTCTGATGTTTACACAGTTCTCAAATGGCATTAGATATATTTTGCACTTCATGACATATATCTCACTTCAGTAGCCTATGTTATAAATTCATTGGGCAGGTTTGGAACCTGACCTTCCAGTATTTCCCATGAGTATGAGGTATCTCTATTGTCACCGTTCCAAGGAGTACAGTTTGAGTGCACCGGGTGTGTCCCAGCAGTAAGTGGTTCACTGATTGTTTAATGGCAGTAATGCATCTCTGAAAACTTTCCTGCTCTGCCATCTCGTCTGAATTGACAGGGTGATGACTGAACAATATTTCACAAGAGATGGCATCAGTGCTCAAGAGTGCCATCATGTGTGGCTACCTTGCGGTGATTTCGCGGTTCAACGTCCCTACGGCCCGGTCTCTGACCAGGCCTCCTGCTGGTCAGCCAGGTTGTTGGCTGCAGCTGCTCGCAGCCTGACATGTAAATCACAGCTTGAGTGATAGTGGCGTCCCTTGTTCTGAATGTTCTCATTTACCATATTATAATATTCAGGGCTGTGGCTGTCTTTGCTTCATTGTGCTCTCTAAACGTTAGGATTCCGATATTATTATATCAAGGTATTTGACTTGGGCTTGCCTTACTATTAGGCTACGCGCAGTGTTGTGGACCCTTTTAAGTTTAGAACTTAATTAGCTTACTAATTATTCTAAAATGAGGCATTACGTTATTTGCATGAATAGGACCATTAGGATAGTTTACAAAACATTGTTATACAAATCGCGTTTATTATTGGATTTAAAATATTAGCCTTCAAATATGATATGTAAATTTAATGCTCTGCATGATGCTACGTAGACAATATAAGGCAAAATAATTGGCAGCAGATAATTTCATTATTGTGGTTTGGGGTAAATTTTTGTTCATAGGATGGATATAATATAATATACGAACTAAACTCAGCAATATTGGCGAACGCAAATTGACATGACATTAAAACTTTTTCTGTAACGGTTATTTTTTATTTTTATTTGTATATTAATTTGCTATTATCTTGTATAGTAGTTACCATAGGTACCTCACGTGCACATGCGGAATTCTTCCCTTTGACAGATAGATGCTGTAAAAGAGATAGATACTGTAAAAGATATCATTGAAGCTGGGAGCTATTTAGGATTTCTAACTCGGTTTGACCGATAGATTTTTATACAGTATTTTAACAACTATTATTATATAGACAAATCCCATATATGAGGTTTCAAGTGGGTGTTGGAGAGGCTGCTGGTCTCATGGACTCTAGTAACCAGGGACACCTTCCCTGGCAGCGTTTAGGTTGCTCTAGGCTAGGCTATTAATTTGTGTAATGCACGGCATTTGTGGTCGTGTACATTATGTATTTTACACAATGTAAGTGACGTTTGTTATGGAATACTAGAGAAGGGGGTACCCGGTAATGCCCAGGTGTGCCTTGTCTTCCTCCCCCCCCTGCCCCCCATTCTTCCAACTCCGCTTTCCCTTCCCCCTCTCACCTTCTCTTTCCCCTCACCCTCCTTCCCTTCTCTTTTCCCTCTCCCCCCTCATTCCCTCATATTTTCCCTCTCACTCCTTCCCTCCTCTTTCCCCCTTTTCATCCCCGTGTTCAACTCCTCCCCTCATCTTTCCTCTTATCCCCCCCTCCCCCTCATATCTACACTGAAAACACTTATCTTCATAACCATCTTCACCGTAACCATCTTCCCTACTTACTATCATCAATGTACCATCTCACCCACATCTTTCCTCTTCTCGAATTCATTCTATTTTGAATTCAAAATCGAATGAATTCAGTTGATAGTTTTCGAGCGATGAACTGAATAGATCATGGAAAATACGCAGGTAAACGGTAGGAATTAAGTCTACGAAAAACATATCCTCGATTTAATTTCAGATTTCACGAAAATTACACGGTGGTGGGGATGGGGGGTACATCTTTTTTTAAATTACCAATAATACCTACCCCAACCAGCCTGTGTCCGTCCCATACCCATATCATTCCCCCTGCAAAGTTTGGGGGGCTAGCCCCCCAAGTGCCTGGAAATTCAGGCACTTCATTCAAGAAATTTTAACCTTGTACAGACACTCTTATAATATAGATTGACCTAACACATCTTTGTGAATGTTGGTGACCTATATGATATACGCAACCCAGCCTCCCAAAATATTACTTAAAGCTATTATGGATGACAAAATGTAATATGGAATGTTGTACCCCGTAAGAGCCCTGTTTTGTGCTATTATAATTCTAAAGAACAAAACAAAACGGGAACGGACGAACCATAAATCTGACTTGTCAAAAGCCTACTTTTCTTTACTATAATAATACCATGAAATTATAGTATAAAACGTAAACATTTTTCTAATGCAAAAGTCAATATTTTTGTATATTCCGTCCACAGTCGCTGTTGACACTGTCAATAGTTGATGACTGGTTGAATACACACCAGTCGTGAGAATCTGCGATTCTGACCCTTGATTACTGAGACTGTATTAATCCACTTGTTCACATGGCCTGTTTGATGTATTATCATGTAAAACTAATATTGTCAAATGTGTGTTGTTATTGCAGGAGATTGATTAAACAGTTCAGTTCCATTGTGTTAATGTATACGATTTATACTTTATTATTAACATCTTTATTGACAATTTATTACAATTTTGCCTAATCTGAGGATTTCAATTAAGTCAGAGAAGTTGGTGTGGAAGAATTTGAAAGGCAGATATGAATGGTGGTCTGGGGCGGGAGACTGGGAAGGGAAAGGAGACTAAATCTGTGTGGATAAATGTAGAGTTTAGTAGGCTGGCACAGTGGCTGGCCTCCGCTTTGATCAGCCCCACTCGAGTTATTCATCTTTGTCTTGAGTTTTCCGCTAAACTCTTATGTGCCCACATTTCTTTTAAATATGCTCACGAGTAACTTATTGACAACCAAGATCGGATTCAGTCCGGGAGAAGTTCACGGGAAGTTTAATACCAAAAAAAGTGTGATCCCTGGTAAGTTTACACCAAAGACTCGAGAGATTAACACCAAAATGTTTTCCGGAATGTTGTCTGTGCCCGTATTACATTGTTTTAAATTAATGCCGCGTCTGTTGTGTGGCGAGAATTAAGGTATTACAGTACAGCTGATGACTACACTTTAGTAATTGTGCCGGCAGATAATATTTAAATTAAAATATAGTTTTACAAGGTTGTGGCCACTACGAGGGCCCTAGGGGGGTGTATGGTACCGCCCAATGAGTGCGGGGAGGATCCTAGGGGTATTTGGCGCCGCCCAATGGGAGCTGCGAGGACCCTAAGGGTATTTGGTGCCTCCCAATGGGAGCTGGGAGTACCCTAGGGGTATTTGGTGCCACCCAATGGGAGCTGGGAGTACCCTAGGGGTATTTGGTGCCACCCAATGGGAGCTGGGAGTACCCTAGGGGTATTTGGTGCCACCCAATGGGAGCTGGGAGTACCCTAGGGGTATTTGGTGCCACCCAATGGGTGCTGGGAGGCCCTTCTGGGCGTCCGGTGTCGTCCAGTGGCTGCTGGAAGGGCTAAGGTGATGTATGGCGTTACCTATTGGGTCCTGGGGGGGGGACTCTTGGGGCGTAGGAGATGCTCAGATGGTCCTGGAAGGACCCTGAGGGTGTAGTGTCACTGGGTGCTGGGAGGAGGCAGGGGTCGGAGGATGCTGCCAAGTGAGTGCTGGAAAGACCTTGCTGGGGGTGTACGGTGCCGTCTAGAACAACTGCAAATCCTCACGGCAGTCAGACAATAATCTCTGCCTATTCCTTTATCATGTCTCCCATCTTTCCCCGCTGTCTTTCATCTCCTTTTCCTAATAATTCTAAATATTTCTCATCTGCGGAACGTTCCTCTAAATACATTTTTTGCGTGCACAAAGTCGTATGAACTTCTCATTGACCTTTGCTGTAATAGATTATTTGCGCGGGTCACGTTATTTTGTAAAGCTATTATTCAGAGTTCAGGTTAAACCTGGCTCCGAGGTAACCAGCTTGGAGTGGTCAATACCCTGGAGAAGGTCAGGAGGGCTCGCCACCTACTGTAGACGCCTCAAGCCCCAGGAAAAAAACGCACAGCCTCACTGGGAAGGGGGTTGGGGGGGGGGGGGGAAATGCGCCATGTAGGTCGTATAGTCTATGTTGTAACTGCTTTATCAATACATCACTAAATATTGATTATCTTATTATAAGTGTATATATTTTATGTTCATTATAAAACACGCAAGTCTCTCGTATTGAGGCTACCATATTGGTATAGTGTTCCCTGCGAATACGATAAATGATAAATTCTATAGATAAACAAGGAATAGAGAAACGGTTAATAATCGATATATATATTTTCACAAGTGATGTATATCTCTTGTATTGACCGTGGATGTAACAG